GCTGGGCCCCAGAAGCTCCTGAGGGCAAGTAACCCTGAGCTGGTAGTTAGGGCAGGTTTTTATGCTGCTGGGGCCAGGACATGGCAGATTTGTTATAATGCTGGGGACAGCACAAGTGCTGGCACCCGGGCTCTAGCTTCCCCTGGCTGCAGATTCAGGAGGAGCCAGGCAGTGTTACTTTGCCCCAAGTGGCACAATTTGCTCTACAACAAAGTGCGTGTCTGAGCACATGTGCTGAGGCAAAAAGCCCCGACTTAAATTTGCACCACTTCTATTTGAGCTGCTGCAAGTGCACGCGTTTGCATGTGTGGACGCACCTAATGATTTCAAATAGGAATTCACAGGGTTAAAAACAGTTCTGCCTGTTGTAGTCTTTCTGTGATATCTGCAACAGAAGAATTGCTCTACTACTTTCCATAGCAAAAAGGGAAAACTAAGAGCTGGCATTTTCCAAGGGGTGCCTTGAGTCTAAAAAGGTTGAGAACCACTGCTCTAACTACTTGAACCAAAAATAAAGAATCACCAATAAAGTTTAAACCACATTTAATTTCTTTTGAGACATATACTTTCAAAATGATCCATATGTGAACTTTATTTCTCTTCTACCACCTTCAAAGGACTTAATCTAAGCTTCAATCCCACAAACTGTGAAAGTGGAGGTTTCTTTTGGCAAAAAAATAAGTATGGTGTAAGGTATACTGCATGTTTTATTCAACCAAGAAAAAGAATGCCAGACAGTCCCCCGCCCATCTGGCAAATCTCCTTGCCAGTAAAACTGCTGAATTTCCATGACAAGTATTTCATTTCACTGGAACACAAAAGTCCTAACTCTCAACATACTGCATGCATGGAAAGCACAGTTTGCTGCCAGATGAACTCTAAAAGTCCATTTTGGATTCACAGATCAGAAGTTTGCTGTAATACCACATGGATAAGTGATGCACCCAAGGTTTACTGCTGTATTCTTTCAGATAACTAAACTAGACAACGTAGGATTGCATCTGTGAATATAATAAAACAAACTAGTACAAACCTTGCCTGAGGCAGTTTAAACTTTGGTAAATAAAATATAATTTCCCTTTTCAGCAGCTAGATATTATTTGAAACAGCTACAGATTTCTCACTGACTTGGTGCTTTAAATCTTGGGCTATCGCCATTTTCCATCTTAGCAGCCAGAGGAGTATTGTAAAGGAACATTTATAGGCATTTGTTGCCACAAGAAAATTAAATCACAATTCTAACCTTCAGTAGAAGATGCACTGGCCTTTTCACTTAAGACTGGTCATCCTGCATAATTCCATAAAATTATTTTCAAAACATTGTTTAATCAGAGCTCAGAATTTATTCCAGCATCCTTAAATACTGTTTTACGGATTCTTAAGTTTAATATTAAAGTTCTATAAACCAGAAACTAGAAACTGTAACAGTACAACTTCCATGGAGGCACCATTTACACACCAGGGTTCAAAATGAGTTCCAACTTAAACTTGAATAGTAACTTATATTTTTTCCTTATACATGAAAAATATAGTTTATCCTGTCAAAAATTATAGCACTTATTCAATGCACATAAAAAATTTTCAATGAAAATAAGTTAGATTTTTTTTGTTGGGACACTTTTTTTTTTTTTAATTAAAAATTAAGAAATACAGTATATTTTTCAGAGGAGCATCAACTAAACAGATTCTTCATATTCACTGAAATATTTTGTGCACAAGCTATATTTGAAAAAAAACGTAATAAAAGGTTAATAATTACCAGGGATCCTGGTTTTCTCTGATAAAAAATATCTCCAATTTTTAAGTTAAAGAAGTAACCCCAAAATCCACATTTTTCTGTGATCAAAATGAACCACCACTATATATATACACATCTGTGTATTAGAAGCATTTCATTTTAATCATGGAAAAATGTGAATTTGGGGTTACTTTTTTAACCCCAAAATTGGGGATTATTTTTTAGCAGAGAAAACCAGGATCCCTGGATTACTGTAGTAATTGCTTTAGTTTACAAAGTCAACAGCTGTCAGAACAGTGGTTTTTGGGACACGTTTCATTGTTCTTAGGGGCTAGTCAGAACCCTTTCCATGGCTATATTATATACAATGATTCTACTGGTTATTTAAAAAAAAAAAATCAGTAATATGAGGGATACTATCAAGAGTTTTCACTGGTAGATTCTTTGACTCAATTGTCATGGTTCCACAGCCACAAGCTAGCTTTGAGAATCAGTGCCTGAAAAGGTACTTCAGAGCACTTAAAGACAACACTTCCACGGCATTTTAGCATTTGCAACCCTAGATTAGATTAAAATGATGATTTTTTTGAGGACCACAAACATTGGCGTGCTTTAGCCATAATCATACAGTTAACACAGAGTCAAAAGGGAATAGATGAGCTCGTTCTCATGTCATAACTATGGACTTGCCTATACCTTAAAACAAACCCAAAAATGTTAATTTTAACGGTTGATTGCCTGTTTGTAATGCTCAGTTTTGGGATAATTACAACATCCTGTTGTGATTTCTTCTTTAAATTACTGACATGTAATCTGAACCTTAGCTCCATTTAACATAGATTTTGTCCTAGAATATCCCTACAAGTACTAATAAGACCTTTAACCCAAAAAGATAATAGTATATTACTAACAAAATATGTGAAACTCTGAATATGCTGACCCTTTTTATATAAATTAAGTTTGGGCTGCCATGAGACAAAATCACCTGCCGACAGCAGAAGCCATAGAGAAGCAACAGAAATATACAAGATATCTTCTACTCAATACTGCAAAAGAAGTCTCAAGAAAGGGCTGCTGAACCCACAGAGCAGAAATCACCCCAGAATGACTTCTAGCTCATGCATCCATTTTTTTCTCCAAACCCTGGTCAAAATAGCTGTACCTGCACAGACTCTTAACAAAGCCTCATAGAAAGATAAGAGAGAGATCAGTGAACCTCCTGTACCTATGACCTAAACCAGCAAGGATAACTAACAAATGATCCAAGGAGAAAAGCCCAAAGGAATGCTGGGGGAAAAGGAGGAAAAAGAAAAAAAAACCAGGGGAGATGAAATAAGGAATTTTTAAATGCAAAAGGTATTTTTAAAATGCAACTGTCAAACTGATATAAACACAGATTTAAATTCTTAAATTTGTATTCAAGATAGACTACCCTGATTTTTAAAAACAAGAAAACTGTCCAAAGTTGAGAACGTGAATAGGAATTTAAAATGGTGCCATTTCAATTTAAAAAATGTTCTATTGTCTATTAATCTGAGAAACAAACAACTAAGCTCTGGAAAGAGCCTGCTGCGTCTGCCAAACATGTCGAGAAAAGTTCACCCAGAGCAAAAGCTTCTTGGTGTTTCACCCACCATCAACTACAGCCAATATTGCGAGCTAATTTGTTTTGAGCTTTTGGTTTTCATCATAATTCAATCATCATTTTAATTCTGAACAGGTCAGAAAACAATGTTTGAATTACACACAGCTATATCAAACTGTGCACACACAAAATTAACTAGTGCTAGTGTTCTGTAGCATTATAATTACAATATCATAATATAAACATCTCAAAAACAGTTCATAGTAATCTCATAAGAAGTCCCAGCATTGCCCTCCTCCCCACCTTTTTTTTTGTATTAGATCATGTCCTGTCATATCCAAAATCCTTGCCACCTATTCTGTCAAATTCTTCTTCTCCCAATTCTATTTTAACCTCCACTGGACTCCAGTTTAGTTCCTACCTCTCCACTAAACCATCTTTCCCCTTCACACACGCACCACTCACTGCCCCCCTCCCCCCAGCCTTTATAGACTTGTTTCTGGCCAAACTTTTGAATTCATTTTCCATCCCCATCCTCTTTAATCAGCTACTGACCTTCAGTGCTTTTACCTGTACTTAAATTATGTGCCATACACACAGATGGACCCAGTCCAATGGCACTACTGCAACATATAAGAGTACTAAAGGACAACCACCATTCATAGTTTCCTGTGTAAGTGACAGGAACACAAAATCCTGGACAAAAACCTTGTTCCTTTACAAGAGCACAGAACTGCGCATTCATCATTTAAAACATAAAAACAATACCACATAACTGAAATGAACCACAACAAGTATTTGAAACTATATAACATACCATGCATTCCCAGCTTTTGTAGCTTTTGTAGGTGTCAATGGTGCAGCTGCAATTGGAGTCCTCTCCAAGTTGTTTATTACTGAACTAGTATCCTTTGCAGCCATGGCAATCATTTTTCTTTGTTTCTGAGACAGCCTGATTCCATGAGAAGCCAGTTTACTATAAATCAATGACAGTAAAGAGAAAAGGCTTAACTGATTTATTGTTTTAAAATGCTGATTAAAGTTTCAGGCTAGTAACTTATTTAATTAATGCTTTTGCTTTATTTGATTGACAGCTATTGCTACAGAATCATCTGAAAAGCAGCACCTTTGAAGACACCTCTTCTCTTGCCCTGTGGGGTCTCAAAAGCATAAAATTAAGGAGCGCCTCAACTGCATCGCATATTCTTTTATAGTTGAGGATGTTTGGAATCTAAAGCTCATAATTCCAAAGAAGTTGAGAGCATGGGTAGGAAGTGTGAATGCGCGCAAGCAATGCAAAGAGCCATTCATAGGAAAGTTCTTTCTTCCAAGTGGCCTCTGTATATTCCCACTTGTACAACAGAAATCAGTACATCCGTGCAGAGCTGGGAAGTTCCAGCTAAACACTGTAAAAAGGAACATCAACATTCCCTAACCAAATCAGAGGAGTGAGGATGGGTAAAGAACATTTAGATCCATACAAAACATTTTCCAAGAATCTATAAAGCATCAAGTGCTTAGCACTTCGGTTTAGTACAGCTGGATATCTACAAGTGACTGCACACTTGGTGAATGGCTACATATGCAAAAGCAATGCAGGTAAAAATTAGTGGTCTGAAGGACAGTCAGAGATGGACTGCGGACTCAGTTATAACAAGGAAAAACAAAGGACCATATCTTTCCACAGGAACACTGGCTTATAGATAATCAACCTTCTGGTTTGCATCTCACCAGCCACATCGTCAAAACTGCAGACACAAACAACTGCCTTGTTTACAGGGCATGATATAGATGTGTACATGCAAGTCTGCAAAAGTGTAGAGAAAAACAAATGCCATTGTACACAGTCTTCATCAATCTGACAAAGGCCTTTGATACAGTCAACAGACAGGGCCTTTTTACTGTTCTGAAGGAACTGAGTCATCCCTTCAAACTGCTGAACATCATTTACTCATTACATCAAGGTATGAAGGCAACTGTAGTATACAAAAACAGAATCAAATGCCTTTGACATCAACAACAGGGTGAAGCAAGGATGGGCCTTAGCCCCAGTGCTTTTTAACATCTACTTTTCATTCCTGCTTCTTCATGCGTTCAGGGACAGCAACGATGGCATTTATCTTCATACCAGACTAGGTGGAAGCTTGTTCAACATTACAAGGTGTAGAGAAAAAAACCAAAGTAAAAACTCGTTCTGAGAGACTTCCTGTTTGCGAGTGATATGGCTTTGGCTGCCCACAGTGCATCTTCCCTGCCAAATCTCTTGGACAGATTTTCTGAATCATGCAAGAGCTTCAGCTCAAAAAGACCAAAGAATGAATAAACCAATACCTGACATCACTCTGGAGGATCTCTCTCTTTGCATCATTGACAGTTTTTGCTACTTGGGTATTATGATCAGCAGGAATCTTGACCGGCAGACTGAACTAACAGAATCAGAGAAGCAGCTAAGAATTTTGGGCTATTACAGAAATATGCATGGAATAACAGCAAACTATCAGCTAAAGTGATTATGAGGATCTACAAGACTTATGTGCTGTTACCCCTGCTTTATGGTTCAGAAATGTAGACTACATATGCTAGGCACATCAAGAGACTGAACAGCTTCCACATTACATTAGATGTCTGCATAAGATCCTGAAAATAAAGTGGAAAGACAGAATACCAAACAGAGATACTGGAGTGCACAGGACTGATGCATTTAGAAAGCACTATCAAGAAGAGGAGGTTGTGATGGATCAGTCATGCCAGGAGAATGGGAGAAGACCATACCCCCAAGAATATTTTGTACAGTGAGACTTGAGAGTGCTCTAGAAAGCAAAGTTGCCCTTTATGGTGGTACCACAATGTGTTCAAAATAATAAAGTTGTTCAACATCAACATAGAAAGCTGGAAGGAGCATGCAGAATCCTATCCAATCGGGAGGGAACATCTGGCACTGGGTGCAGCTTAACATGAAGCAGCTTTGATCCAGAGGATGGAAGCAAAGCAAAAAAGAAAGCAGCTTGTAATTTTTAACTTCAAAATCAGACAATATGAGTCTGTGAAACTTATAACAAGCTGTGTCGCTCTTGAATTGGCCTTGTCAGCCACAAGTGGATTCATCAGACACCTGATTACACCTATGTGTATACCATGATCCAGAGGATTGACGGTTGCCTATATACATACAAGTCTGACATGTCCTAGGAATTTTACAAAATCACACTCTTATTTCACAGCAAAAGAGATTCAGGTACCAGATGGAACAGACTCATGACAGCTCAACTTTCCATAGACCTCTGCCACAGTTGCGCCTTGTATGGGCGATTTCAGTTCTTGCTCAAGAGAAAAATGCAAGTTCTCTTCATCTCAATTATTACAACAATGCAGTTTCCCTGTGTAGTCTTAGCTGTACGTGAAACAATTCATAATTTAAAGATGTTATAAAAAAAGTTAGGGCAACTACCCCAAGTATGAAGGGTGGAAGCTGAAGAGGAACTATAGACTCCAGAATACCTACCCCTATGTCAGCAGTACAGAAGTAAGGCTTTCAACCTGAGACAACTTAGGGTCAGAAAGATTCTTTTACCTCAACCTGGAAGCCAAAAATTAGTAGTTTTAAAAGAAGTGTTTGTGATGTGAACATTAGGTGCAACATTAGTTAAGGCTGCTAACAACTCCTAAACTCCCTACCGGCCTAGACAGATTTCTCTCTCCAATGCAACTAGAGAGAACACAGAACTGCTGATTTCTGTCCAAGAAAGAAGCATTGTCCAAATCTGAAGCAAATCAAAACAATAGGTGCCTTCGCAGAATTATGAGACCGAGCTTAAACAGACTTTCCTGACAGGAGTGAGAACGTCAGATGCAGACCTAAATAGGAAATCTTTGCTGAATGTATGTAAGTGCTGTTCATTCCATCCAGGAAGAACACACACCAACTGCAGAGGCTTCCTCAGCCTGACAAAGGGTTTTTAAACCCAAAAGCTTGCTAGGAAAATTTTTTCCAACTATTTAAGTTGGTCTAATAAAAGATATCAGATTCACCCAAAGAACCTCGTCTTCCTATGTCCTTAGACCCACACAAATACAACCTACACCCCTGTTCAAATAAAAGGTATTCAGTGACATTTTTCCTCCAGTAAATAAGTGTACTCAAGAGTTTTAGTAGTGAATAACACTCTGCTGAAGCTGGGCATTGTGCAAATGGAGGGAATCATTGAGATAAGCCATAGTTCTTATCTGATGATGACATGCAGAGCTTCTTTACATCATTCCTGTAAATAAGTGTTGCTTCCATACCACAAGCCTCATCAAGATAGTGGATGTATACACCTGCTCATTTGCTGCTTCAGGCCTGAGCTACAGTGCTCAGCCAATAACTACTTGTGGCTGTGAGTGGTTTAACATAGGACTCTGCCCCTTCTGCTTGCTGGAGCCAGAGAGAAGTAGCAGCCAGCTTGACAGACATCAGAGAACTGGATCTGCATGCTTTTATTCTTCCCTGCTTGAATTCCAGTGAAGAAAAAAAAAAAAAACATCTTCCCAACTTAAGGCAAGTAACTCCAGTTCTGAAGGGCTGATTTTGGGGGCCAAAGCTGTGTGTGGTATACAAGTAAATGCAGTACTATAAATGGTAAATGAGATCAGGGAATTTTTCCCTTTGAAGTACCTTGAAAGGCCTACCTCTATGCCACTTGTAACTAACATCCTAAAGGAGCTGTACATTTGTTAGTAATCCCCAACAGAAACCTCAAACATGGCATGATAAAAGGTATAATTCCAGCAATACTGGAAAGGACCCTACCCTTTGGTATGAAATTTCTGGAGTTTGGGGGAGGGGGGCAAAGGGGGGCAAACTTTATGCAAAGTTCATTGCATAGTTATTTTATGCAAGAAAAAAGTGTGCAGGTAAATCTTTTTCTGTGGCCCAAATGTATATGCAAGCATGCCTGCCATGATACAACTGAGGCCAAATCAATTTCATTTCGCATTCATTCCTTGCCACAAGCTTTCTACTGAAAGCTTCTCATGGGAAGTAGGAAGTTTCCCAAGGTTCCTTCTCGTAATCAGGGAAGTCCTGAGAGAATGAGGCAAAGAAAAAAATGCAATCTGTTGTGCAGCCAAGAAACTGAACATGAACCATATCAAGTAACTACTGTCCTCTATTGGTAAATCCAAACTGGCATGTTAAGCATCTTCACTGAAGCCAACAGCCTGGTAAAATTTACAAAATAATGAGCCCAGAGAAGTTTCCTTCCCCTCTCCCTACCCATTTCCCCTCAGTACAGAAGAACACATTCACAGGCTAAAGTGTATCAGAAATACAAAACAAGAAGGCCAATGACTGAAAGAGATACTTGCTGTAGAGGTCTCATAACTGGTTGCCACTTCTCTCTTCCAGATTCACTCCCACATCATGCTATTGCCTGGAAACTCTAGGGCTCTGCCAACATGTACTTAATCATAAAATTAAGACATGCAGATCCCATGCCTCCCACTGACAAAAAATGGGGCAGACTGTAAACAACATTGACTCCTTGGCATTGAAGTAATTTAACTCAGACAGATTAGGAGATTTTGTTTATACATGAATTTGATACAGAAGCATTTAAACTGGCAGATCTATAAAAAACAGTGTCACATCCTTGGCACTGGTGAAAACAAAGGACACAGTGGGCCAAGAACCTGAACAGTTAACAAGTCATTAGAACAAAAAGATGTCCTAAATTGCTCAGCATTCTCAGCACCAGACTCAGCTAATGATCTAGACAGCAGTGCCAGTACTGGCAACCAGGTTAATTTAAGCATAAAGCTCATCAACATGAACTATGCAAGATCTCTGGTGCCAGATTAAGTCAAACCAGACTCAGTTAAGAACTCTGATACCATGCCACTGGGGCTATAACAGGGGTGGCCAACCTGTGGCACATATGTTACAACTGGCCCAAGCAGCCTCCGTGTGTGTCACACTGCAGACTAGGAGGAGACAAGGCAGAACAGTGACAGATAGGACAGACAGCACGAAGCAGAGCAGCAGACTGACAGGGGAAAGGGACTGGAGTGACACTTGGAAAAGGGTGTGGGGCTAATTTGTGATACACCTGCCAAAAAGGTTGGCCCCCACTGGGCTAGAACTGAAGTGCCAGGCTTAGTCAGCAGGACCTGGACATTGTTCAAGAAAAGCTGATCTTTCAAGTCAGTGCCAAAAACTTTGTTAACTAAGCCAGTGAGCAGCAGCATGTGACATGAGTCTCCCATACTCTGTAGGTCTGAGGGATGCCAATATTAGTGTCTTTTTCCTTGCTTTGGAGAAGAAAGCTGGTAACTAAAAAAAGCCTTAAAACAGATAAGGAAAAGCTAATAAGGACACTGAATACAATCCAAGCTTGCTATACCTTCTGCCATTAAAAAGAAACTGAAGGGCAACTGAGCTACTTTCAAAAACCTCCATGTTAAAGGGGAAAGTGGTCCCAATAGATACTGCTCTTCACAAGATTCTACATCTGATGCCAGAAGTATCAAGAGTTTCACTGCTTACAGCTTGACATTTACAGTAGCCAATGTAAGAGGAAGAGACAAATCCAAACTAAACCCAGTTAGCCACTATCTATTTCATTCTGAAATGGTGACTAACCACTTTTGTAGTGGAAGTCAAAGTGCTTAACAAAAGTTCTTGGTTTTTTTTGTGATTTGCTAATCACTTACATCTACTGTGATTGTATCATGTGGTCTATTCACAACTAGAATAGCTACTACTAGCATTAACTGCCTGCTGAATCACAATATTACAATAAATATAATGTATATAATAATCTGTTTTGTAATAAATATATTATTTCCTCTCTTAGTATTTGGTTTCTCATCCTAAATTTAACCTGCTGCTGTTCAACCATTTCAGATGAGTAACCCCTTATCTGAAGTCAGAAATGTTCACAATTCCATTACAATTTATTATTTAAAAAAGTAAAAGGTTTATCATCATGCATAATTTGTTATTACATAATTTGTGCATGAATGGCAGAATTCCTGATCTTCAAGGGAATGGTTTTATGAGGAGTGTGGGTGTGACACTTCTTTCATTTAGATTGTAATAACATTTTAATACCTTCTTGGTCACTTCCTGAGCTGCCTTTTATGATAGCCCTCCCACCCCTGCTCTTGGGAAGTGTGACCTACCCAGCTGAGAAATGTGGGTTTAGTCCCAAACTGTTTACAGAGAGGGTGCTACTTGCCCTTCTGTGTGTCCATGCATGATTCCGCACCAGCTGGTTGAGTAGAGTCAGAACAAGATGCAGAGGTAAATTTTAAATACACACAGAGAAATCTCATAGTGAATGAAGTAAACAAAGCTATGCAAATGCAAGGACAGTTTTTTCTTCTTTTAAATCCTAAACTGTCTGAACCACTAAGTGAATTCGTAATGGTCTATTTTATCATATCTTTCTTTTATAGATTTTGGTTTTTTACCAACCTTGCATTTGTCTTTGGCATAGTTCCACACTTCTGCATATTCTCTTCAATTTCCATGATGGTTCTTAGATCCATAGCAGGAGGACTGGCAGGACTAAATGAAAAATGAAAAGTTACCTTTCAAAGCATTCATTTTTACTTACATTCCACTGTTTCCAACCTTCACTGAAACCTTCTAAATCATACATAAGATTGGTAACTGAATGTATAATTTATGTCTGCTTCCTCAATTATGGCAAACCTCAAATAAAATGTTTCTGACAAAAAACCTTTGCATATACACACACAATACTTTGAAATATACTTCACTGAATTATGAAACAAAATATGTGAACTGCTATAAAAAAAAGATACTGTACATAAGATATTTAAAGCCAGGATACTTATTCAGTTGTCAGCTAGCTAAGGAAGTATTACGAAGACACTAGTCACTAATCCAAAGCTAAGAACAAATTCCAATCCAGAGCTGTAGCAAATATTCAGCCTCGCTTTTGTGTTAGAAAAGTGCAGAGCATCCAATCCCTCTAGTTATAGCACCTGAAATACAGTAAAGCAATTCTCAAAACTTACAAGGAAATTATTTAATTTATAAGTAAAAGCTTCAAAATTAGCATTTCCACTGCTTTTTACTGCGCTGGAAAGACAAAAGCAACTGTAAATCTAAACGGCATGTGCTTTGATGTCACCAAGGATCTGCTCATAAAAACCTAAAATTTTACAAGGTGACTTAGATTGATAACATGTCCTCAAGTCATATGAAATACTGTATGATAGGTAACATACCTTAAGAATTATGAACAAGTAATATACAGATTTTTTTACATCTATTGTCATTCTAAAACAAAAAGATAAGTTAAGACAGAAGAATGGTTATGTATCAATACAAACCAGGAATTCATAATCAATGTTATTATTTAAGAAGTCTAACATATTAACCTAAAAACCACACATTTACCATACCCAAGCAAATCTTAAAAGTCCACTCTGTAGTGAAGTCATGCAAGAGACAAAGTATAAAGAAATAATGTCTTAAAATTACTTCAAGAATCTGGTATCAAAGACATCAAACTCCTTAGGGTCACATAGTAAAGTACAATTGTGACATTACCAAAGCAAGCTTGCTTGGGTACTTTAACAAGCTTAGATTGCTTTGAAATGTATCCTTAATGCCAAGTTACCTAAACTGATAAAGCTGGGATTTGGGGGTAATAATCACCTGTAATGTTGCATTCATTCTCATAGAGGAAAGTGTTTCTCAACATGCAGCAGAAGCTATTAGAGAAACTTATGACAGAATCCCCCATATCTAAAACCCTGTTCAACTGGTAAATGAAACACTAACAGTAACTTCCATGATTGGTTTTATGCCTACAAAAGAACTGTGAGGAATAAAACCAGGAAAGCTACGGCTGCGATGGAACTCCAGCTAGCTACAAATATCAAGGACAATAAAAAGTCCTTTTTCAAATAAGTGGGGAGCAGGAGGAAAAGCAAGGGCAACACTGGACCCCTGCTAAACCAGATGGGACAACTGACAACCAATGCCCAGGAAAAAGCAAACTTGCTAAATGGGTATTTTGCATCAGTTTTGTTTTTTTGTTGTTTTTTTTTTTTACCACTCCCATGGGACGCCCCTGCCCACTGTGGGTCAGGAAGGCCTGGGTGAGGGAGATTTCTTGCCCTCCATCGAAGCTGACTTTGTGAAGGAACACCTTGACAAGCTGGACACCTTCAAGTCAGCCGGCCCTGACAGTTCACACCCAAGGGTCCTCAAGGAGCTGGCAAGCATCATAGCTCAGTCCCTGGCATGGATCTTTGAGAACTCCAGGCCCTCTAGTGGAGTGCCCGAAGACTGGAAGAAGGCCAATGTAGTGTCTATATTCAAGAAAGGGAGGAAAGTAGATCCAGCAAACTACAGGCCCATCAGCCTGACCTCTATCCTGGGGAAGATCTTGGAAAAGATTATCAAAGAGGCCATCCTTAACAGACTACCTGATGGCAATATCCTGAGGGATACCCAGCATGGGTTTGTTGTGGGTAGGTCTTGCTTGACCAATCTCATTTCCTTTTACAACCAGATGACCCATCACCTGAACAAGGGGGAAGAGATTGAAGTCGTGTATCTTGA